CTGTAAGTTCCCACAGTGGCCTCAGTTCTTCGGACTAATTCTTCCTTGGCTGTGACTCAAGTCGAAAACAAATAGAATCCTGTAACTGGTGAAGCAAGTGGCAGATCTATCTTTGCTGGACCAGATTCTGTTATTTATCTAGGGTAGAGGGAGAGTGGGGCCAGGGCATCAGAGGCCTGGGCTCAGATGCCACCTCCACTGGCCTGGGGTAGGTAGGACAGGGAAATGAGTGGCGACCCCTGCGTTCAGTAGTGAGCCCAAGTGACTGCTCTATTATGACATGCTTTTTTATTGACCTTCCTTCCTTTGGTTAATATTCACAGATGTCCCCAAAAGGAGGCCTTTGACAAGGCCAGTCAGCCCCAGCTGCACCATTTCTGTTGTGTGCCGGCACTGGGCCGGGCACTGCTCATGCAGAAGACCAGACACACTCCCCTGTCCAGGGCTCAGTCTTGGGCCTGGGCACTGGGAGACAAGGACAGGACCTGCAGCTGCTTCCTAGCCCTGTGGGTGGGCTGCTGATGGGGCATGGGAGGGGCTAGAGACCGTATCTGATCTCGAAGCAGGAAGGCCCCCAGAGAAGGGACTCCTGGGGACCCTGTTTACCTCTTCTCAATTTTACCCAGGCTATGGGGCAGGCCACATCCTTATGGGAACCTCAGCAGCACTTCCAAGTCTGTTAGAGACCCCCTCTGTCCCATCTGTCTCTTTCTGGGCTCTCCCTCTGGGCCAGAAGAAGTTTCAGGTGCCTCAGAGGCCTGACAACCAGGTGGGGCGGTGGATGGGAACATCAGAGCTATGGTCTCTCCCCAGCTCCTTCAGTCCTTTGTGCCCTTGGGCACGGGGCGGGTGGTCAGCTGAATCCTGGCAGCCTGTGAAGAAGCTCTGTCTAGAATTGGGCTTCTGTACCAGAGATGGGGGGAGGCTGCCTCCTCTTACAGGTGGGAGAACAGGAGCTTGGGAGTTCACAGAGCCTCTGTTGACTGGTGGTGGCTGCTCTGCCAGGTGACTACTACCTTGGCCAGCCCAGGGACTGGGAGTGTTGGCTGTGGCCCCCTCCTGAGCTGGGCTAGACCAGCCAGGAACTTGCTGTGGATCTCATAAGCTCCCAGGCCCAGAGAAGCCGGAGAGGGTGAGGGGGCCACTCAGGAAAGCTGTGTCCTAAGCCTGCAGCGAGCCCAGCTCCCAGCTCAGAGTAAACATTAGAGATAGGATCGGGCGTAGCCAGGAAGGGTGGCAGGGTGCGGCCTGGAAGAAGAATGGCAGGATGTGGCACCGGGGCACTGCTCTGGGCACCCACGCCTCGGGCTATTGTTTAGGGCTGCCTGAGGCTCTCAGCTCTCTAGGGCTTTGAGAGGAAGTGCCATTCCCCTGGGACTTGGGGCTGCCCCACCCCTGCAGTGTGGACCTCTCCCTGGTGATGCCCTTGGCACCACCCCCTCAGGGCCAGCTTGGGACCGGGAGCCTGCAGTAAAGGGGCCTGGTGTGTGCACAGTGGGGAGGCATCACTGGCTTTCCTTGGAGGGTCTGCCTCTCTGTTCAGGCTGTCTTCCTGTACCCTGGGTCTGAGTCAGCCGTCATGCTCCGATGACTGGAATTTATCTCTGTCTTTATCTGCATCTAGATATTTTTTTGGGGGGAGGGGGGGCGTCTTTGTGGAGGGAGAAAGGGCTGAGTGAAAACTCCTTTGATTCCAGTCCAGATGGGCTGCTTGTTGGCCGATTGGGAGAGGAAGTGGCTGGTGATTTGTTTTGAGTAGAAAGGGGCTCGGTGTGTGCGTCTGTGGGTGGCTGGGGGTTAGAGGGGCCGGGACAGGGTTGGTTGTAAAGAGGAGAGAAAGGAGGTGGCACCTGTGGCGCTCTGTGGAGGGCAGGCACCTTGTGCCTTGTCCTAGGCACTGGATTGGGGGCCCCAGGGCCTCTCGGGCACCAGCTCAGAGACTCGAGGCTCTGCAGCATCAAGGGTGAGGATGGCCGGCGCCCTCTCCCTAATTTAGGGGCCTTCACCTGTGACAGATGCTCAGGTGAGATACGGTGGAGGAGAAGGAAGGCAGTGGAGGCCTGTGGGGTGGGTTCCCAAGATGGGAAGGGAAGTCAGAGCAGCAGTGCTGTGCCGTGTCCCAGCTGGTTAAGGTCTTCTGACTCTGTCGTCCTAAAGCAGTACTGCCCAAAAAAGCCTTCGGCTTAGGCCTCGGTTTCTCCATTTACAAAATGTGAGTAAGGCTGGGCAAGAAGAGGGAGGAGATTGGATCCGCAAGAGCACGTCCACCGAAGTGGGAGGCCAATGGAGTGTCCTGTGGGCTTGTGGCCTCGGACCAGGGCCTGGGTGGGAACTGAGGGAGCCCAGTAACTCAGAGACTCCTGTACATCAAGGGTCTTTTGGCTTCTGGGTGGCTGGGGAGAGGGGCAGGTGTGCCTGCTGAAATTAATGCCTCCCGAGAAACTATGTGGATCGTCGAAACATGGAGCAAGCTTGGTAAGGAAGGGGTAAAGGAACTTGAGGGGTTTTTTCAGTCTCTGGAAAAAAAGTAACTTCAGGGAAGACTCCAACAAGGTCTTTAAATCTAGAAGGTATGGAAAATGTTTCTTAATTATTCCAAGGTAAAAACAAAAGGAAATGGGCTCGCTTTGCTGCTGGAGGATTTAGGTCACTCATAAACAGAGCTTAGATGCTAGAAAAAGGCAGCTGAGGATAACGGTACGAGAAGTAGGGGTATGGGAAATAAATCGCAGCGAGCAGCATCTATCTAATAATGAGGATAATGGTAGCTGTCACTTATGATGCCTCCAGTCTGCCTTGTGTTATGCTTCTGAGCTATATTACACAATTATTGTACGAATATTTATCGAGCACCTACCTACTCTGCTCCAGGCACTCTGCTAGACTCTGGAGCTACACTGATGAGCAAAACTACGTATTTTCTACAGTGCCTTGTGTGGAGTTGGGTGGGTTCTCAGGCTACTGGATGAGTCAGAAATAAATTAGGCATGTAGTCCTTTGAACACTAAGAGAATATAAAACAGGCACACCTTACGGGGTCTGGAGTTTTACTGGAAGGCTCATCCCTTCATATTGTTTTGTTTTTTTTTTTTAATTTCCATTTTAATGAGGAAGAAACAAGTTCAAAGAAGTTAAGACACTTGCTCAAAGTTGCACAACAATTAACTGGGCAAAGTTGGGTTTCAAATGTACTCAGGTCTGTCTGACCCCAGAAGTTTTTCTCTCAACCACCTGACTCTAGGAGCATCTTGAGCTATGTGACAACTTAATGGATGCTTACCCTGCATTATTTAATCTTCTTCTGTCTTTAATGGACACCTGTGGGGTATGAGTTATTATGCCCAGTATATGGATGAGGAGACAGAGGTTCAGAGAGGTTAATTAACTTGTCCAAGATTACACAAGTCAGATGGTGGCAGGGCAGGAATTTGAACCCAAGCCTAAGAGCCCGTTTTCCAAACTCCATTCCATTGACACCTCCCCACCCTGACCCTAGGTCCCCTCGCTTTACAGACAAAGACCATAGAGGTGAAGCAGCCTGCACAGAGACACTCAGCTGCAGAGTGACAGAACAGGGCTGTGTGTCAACTCTGTGCCCTCCGCCTTGTTGTCTTTTCTCTGTTTAGTTTATCGCATACGTCTTTTGCTCTGCACTCTGAGAGCTGGGATGGTTGGGGTCCAGAGCCTGGCACCTGCGCTCCTCAGAGAGACTTTTTATCTGTGTGGGCCTCAGACTGTGAAGGGGCAGGAAGGAGCATCTCTTCTCTAGCAGGCCTGTGCTCAGGGAGGGCCAGAGGGAGACTCTTCCTAAGAGGTGAGACCAGGGACATGCCTTCCAGGAGGAGCCTGTCGGGCCTGCACTGTTGCTTCTCCATCAACAAATAAATAGGCAAAGGGTTGCTGCCGAGAGCCAGTCCCCAGATCCGGAAGTACGTCGAGTCTGAGCCCAAGCCTGTGGGAGTAAAGGGCCCTTGTCTGGGCAGCAGGCTCTGGCAGGGTTATCTGGTGGGCACCACACCCTAGTGAACAGGCTGACACCTCCCAACCAGCTTGGCTGGTCACCAGGAGCCATTTTCTTTGTTACCAGAAGCTGGGCCAGAGGCCAAGATGAGCCATGGGGAGCCCCAGGAGACCAGCTCCCCAATATAATGATAATCCAAGTGCCCCACTGGAGGGACTCTGGGGGAAGGGGTGAAGTGTGGGTAGAAAAGTCCGCTGAAGCTCAAAGGAAGATGTCCTAGTGTAGCACTGCCCAACAAATATAATACTAGGCACACGCATCGCTTTAAATTTTTTAGTAGCAACGTTAAGAAGGGTAGAAAGGAACAGGTGAATGAATTTTAATGTTTTTTATTTAACCCAACATTTACAAAATATTGTAAATTCAACATGTAATCCATAACCAATTATTAACAGGCTATTTTACATTCTGTTTTTTCATACTAAGCCTTAGAAACCTGGTGTGTTTCACACCAAGCACATTAACATTGGGACTGGCCAAGTTACCAGTGCTCAGTAGCTGCGTGTGGCCGGCCAGTGGCTGTATCGGGAGTGCCGTCCAGGAGTTAATTAGGACAGAGAATCACTTCCTCTGCCTCCACCTTCAGCTGGAGGGTGGCCGCAGGATCAGCGACCGGCCCTGGGGAGACGCAGGCCAGTTCCACCCAGGCCTTGAGGCCTTAGACCCTCTCATCAGAGCTGTGTGCTGCCGCTGTTGCTGAGGTCTCTGGGCTGTAGTGGTAAGAAAAGCTTTGAGGTAGGGGCTGGAAGGCCACGAAGTTGGGGCAGAATGTAGGAGAAGAGCCCTTAGGATCCAAGTCTGGAGTGAGGAGGTGACCCGGTGTCCTGCCCGCACGGAGGCCAGCAGAGTGGTGGGTGTGGGACAAGGTGGCGCTGAGCCGGGCGGGATCAGAAGCCCACAGGCCTGCATTGTTCGCCTGTCACACTTCCTTTGGCTTTATTGCCTTTGTCCAACACCCTATTGTCTGGTTTCCTTTTGTCCCCCTTTCAGTGCTGCTGCCTTTTATTTCCCAGCCAGCCTGGTTGTTTTCATTTCTTTTGTCTGAAGTTCCTGAGAGGAAGGTTTTATTTTCAGCGGTTTGATTAATTCACAGCTTGAGCCTGGGGTTTGTTTGTTATGTAATTGCTGCCCTCAGCTTCAGGATAATACCCTTCCTCGACTCCCCCCTCCCCCACTGTGGGCCCCGCCTGCCAGGGCCTGGCTCTGCGCCCCTCCCTGTGCCCGGATGGGCTGAGCTGCCTGCTTCCTGGACGCTCTCCAGGCCCCTGAGTGGTGGGACGGGACGCCCGAGTTGGACCCCAAAGCCCTGGCAAGCTGGGCAGGGGTCTCTTCTTTTCTCCTGGGTTTACCTTCTTAGAGTCAGGTATGCTCCTCCTCACCCTGCAGTGCCCTGTCCTGGGTCCTACAGCAACCCCCAGGGTGCCCTGCCTTTTGTACGTGGCAGGACAGTCTGGGCTGGTCTACAGGATGGCATCAAACAGAATACATTTATTTCAACTGTAATGTTCCTTCAGTTATTTAATGTGAAATGCCGTTTATGTATTGTATATGGCACACTGTCATTCATTATACATTACAAGAAATATTTAATTGTACAGAGTTGATGCAATGTACAAATATTATAGTGCACCTGTAGTCTAAGAGATGTTTTACTGTATCTGAGTTTTGCCTTACACTCCCCTCCTAAATTCTTAAAGCCTATGTAAAAAAAAAATTTATTTTTATTTTTATTTAAATTAACAATCCTCCAACTAGTTTGTATCAGAATCACTGGAGAGCTTGTTAAAACAGATCCCTGGCCCCACCTACAGATTCCGGTTGAAGATGACCCATGACTGCCTCTCAGGCCTTCTGGCTCCTCTGACTCTGTGAGGTCTTGTGCTGCATCCCAGCTAGCAGTGGTTTAACAGACACCACATCAGTGCTTACTGGTACCAGGTAGTGTTCCGGACACTGTGCAAATAACAATTCATAACCCATTTTACAGTTGAAGAAACCGAAGTACGGAGAAGTTAAGTAACTCACCCAAGGTCACTTAGCAGCTTATTGAGTGCCCGAGGCAGGACCCATGCATACTTGGAACCTGCCTTCTGTCCATTGGTCTTGTCTCAGTGACTTTGGAGGGGGAGCGGGGGAGCTATAAGGGTATGCTGCTCTGGCTCTGAGCCTGACATGACCACTGGAAACCACTACCAGGGACCCTGTGCCTGCTCCACTGCTCTAGATGTCCCTGGCTGTGGTCTGACAAGTGGGGAGGCAGCAATGGGAGCAGTGGATTCAGAGTCTCTGCATAAACCAGGGATTGCAAATGCCTACCGGGCCCGGCTCTCAATGAGGGATTCTAGCTAGATAAAAAAAATTTTTCCTTAAAGCCACTCATCCATCTCTCAACCTGTTATTTTCCCACTTTTGGTAGGCACATGGGTATAAATAGTGCACTTTGATCTTGCCTCTCTAAGAAAAAGAATAACTGTGTATTATTCAGGATAGCTGATGGTTTCCCTTTTGGGGAGTGGTGGGGAGTAAGGCAAACTGGCCTGTCTGTAAGGGGTACCTCATTTATAGCCAACTGTTGCTATGTACCAACTTCAAGAGAAGTTCAGATCCAGATTTTATGTGATATCTCTTGATTTTTAAATTTTGGTAACTAATTATAAATACATATAAACATATACAAACACACCTATATATATAATCTTGGCTTTATTGGGGTCAGAAATAGCCACTTAACAATCTCTAGCCTCCTTAAATGGACCCATTAGCCCACCAGTCCCAACATTGCAGCAGGCAGGGAGTGCCAAAAGTTGGGCCCCATCCTCTCTACAGCTTCCTATTAAAAATAAAAAAAATAAAAATTAAAAAAAAAACAAGGACAGAAGAGTCTTTTCTAATTTCCACTATGGGTCCCCAGTGGGAGCTTCTGACTTGTGTGTGTACCTGTTTGGGGCCGGGGGATGGAGGGTGGGGTCGATTCTCCCGGGCCTCAGGACTCACTTCACTCACCTTGCCCCTCTACCCTCAGGATGTCCATGAGGAGCCCCGGCCCTGCCCAGCTGGCCCTGGATGGCGGTGGCACCATGGTGAACTGTACCGTCAAGTCAGAGGGGAAGAAGGAGCCTTGCCATGAGGCCCCGCAGGGCTCGGCTGCTACAGCTGAACCCCAGCCTGGAGATCCGGCCCGGGCCACCCAGGACGGCGCTGACCCTCAAGCTCCAACCCAGGTGCCCGGCACTTTCCCAGGAGGGCGCCCGAGTCAGTGTCCCCACCAAACCCATGCACCACCTCGTCTTCTCCGCTAGGCTAGGCAGGCACCTACCCCCTAGTTGGGCGGAGAGGCAGGCAGAAATGTTCATCTCTGGGCAAAACTTAGGTGAGTGGGGAGCGGCTGCCAAGTTCAGTCGGGCCACCTGTCTGAGCAGGATGTGGACTCACTCCTGCACTCACTCGCCTGATGGTAATGCTCACCTGTGTGACTCGTCCTTACCCCTGAGGACTAGTTGGAGAGATTGGATATACAAGCTCAAAGTTTGCCTTAATCTAGTAGCTTTTGCATGTGAGTTGAGAAAACCAGTCTTATTATTAAGGCCAGAATTAATTTCTGTTAAAATCCTTAAAATGAAGGAGCTGAACTTCATGAACTGTGAGGATTCTTGCAGCTCTTAAAAATTCTATGATTGCATTAAGAGGTATAAACAAGAAATATGTAATTAAAAGCCAAATGAGGAGAAAATAAGAGTTTTAGGTTCTGAGAAGGGCTCCATCCTGAGGCGGTCAGGAGGCAGAGTGGCGACTGTGGAAGACTTTTAGAGGAGCAGGCCCTCGAGCTGGGCCTTGGAGAATAGAGAGGACTCAGAGGAGAAGAGGAGAGGGGATGGTGTGTGAAAGGGCTGGGGCGGGGTCCCCGGGAGTTACCGGCCCAGCTGGAGCAGTGAGTGTATGTAAAGGAGTAATCATTAATAGCTGGCTTTTGGCCTCAGACTCTGCAGTGGCAAACCTCATCCACATGCATTAACTCCCTTGATCCCAGCACAATTCTGTGACAGGGAAGGTATGAGTATTTTCCGCTTTCAGCAGAGGAAAGTCAGGTTTAGAGAAGTTCATAGACTCATGTGGGATCAAGCACCTTATGAGTCACTGAGCCTGGGCTGAGCCAGGTCTCTTGTCTTTAAATGTTTTGTTCTTTTCAGTAGATCAGGCAAAGCCAGAGCAAAGATAGGAAAGGTGGGGACGGAAGGCGCTGCTTGCGGGGGCCGGTGGACTCTAGGATTCCCTCAGGGTGTACATGTCTCGGGTACTCCGTCTTTGCTTCATTCTGCCCCTCTTCTCTTGGAGGTGACAATGACATTTAGTGTGTCTTACAGGACTGCAGCTCACCGGAGAGCAGTGGGTGCCCAGAACCCAAGAGACGAGGAGGCTCTGAGGCTGCTTGTGGAAGCCAGGAGAAGCTGGACTTCAACCGAAATTTAAAAGAAGGTAAGGTGTCTGCCTTAGTTAAAGGCAGAGGCCTGGGCAGGGGAAGTCTTAGGATGGCTGCTCCTTATCTCTTTGGTATCTTCTAGTCGTGCCAGCCATTGAGAAGCTGCTGTCCAGTGACTGGAAGGAGAGGTTTCTGGGAAGGAGCTCCGTGGAAACCAAAGATGTCAAAGGTGAAGATCATGGGGATGGGCAGGGGAAGGATGTCTGACCCCTGGCCATGCAGTCCGGGCCTATAGGGCAATTCTTAGGGCTCTCGGTGCCCTCAGATGTGGCCTCTGCCACTCTGGCTCCTGCCTGGCCCCAGGGATCAGCACATCCCTTACCTGGGGACCAAGTACTAGGTTTGGCTCATTCTCATGTGGGAGAGGTCTGGTAGGAATCAGATCCCATGGGCACAGGACACTTGTGACCTTGGGCATATCATTGCCATTTTTTACAAGTAACTATAAAATGAGCCTAACATTCTCTTTCACTTTTGAAAATTAATTCCGGGCCAGCAGGACCTCACTAAAGGGATTAAAGGGCTGTTTAGTGGAGTCACTAGAATGATAATTTTCTCGGTGTGATTGCTCACACTTACAGAGGGTACTTTATTTTTTAATTTTTTTGCAAGAGAAAAATAACCAACTTTAATACATACATATGTATGGGAACCCCTTACCTCCATGAAAGATTCAGAGATAGAAAGGGAGCCTGGGCATATAAGACATCCTGAGCTAGGGATGAGGTAATGCACCTCGGGGGCTTCAAAGGGTCATTGCAGGGTGATAAAAAGAGCAATGTTTAGTTTGCCCTGCCATATAGGTGGGTCAAAAAGAGGTTATCACAGATAATCTCTTATGTGGGCCAGGCCCCTAGTTCAGGTTCTTCTAGGTAGGGAGAACCTATCTTGGGAGGGAGGGAGAAGTTTCTCCTGAGCCTGAGACTGAAATTGCCTTTAGCTCAAAATAATCTGCATACCACTGAGGCACAGCTCAGGGGTGGCTCGTTCTGAACCCCCACAGTTCCTTCCTCTGACACTTCCCTGAAAGTTTCACATTCCAGAAACTGGGCTAAAGGACCGTTCTATCATTAAACCAGTCTCAGTCTTGAGAAGAGTTCCATTCACTTAAGGTTGTGTCTCATTTCAGGAGGCAATGATGCTGGTAGGCTCCAAAGTTAAGCCTATGGTGTAAGCAATCAGATATTTAGTAAGAGGCATCTCTCTGGAAACAAAAGGAAAACAAAGGTTAATGATCGGAGCTGACTATACTCTCCATTTCTGAGTTCCAAAGGTGTTTGGCTTGCAGCATCTTCAGATGGAGTGAGGGCAGGAAGTGACAGTCTGATAGATTTGTTCTCCTGGTCTGCTGTTTGAATGCCTCTGGTGATCTTTCGGCAACAGGCACGAAGTTTGTCTGCAGATGAGCTGTTGTGATTTCTCTGAAGTTTATATCAGGCTGTCCCACTTTAGCTTGTATGGTCTTGGAAAAGGGCAGTTTTCGTTCTCAATGATTCCAAATCAGAGGGTGGGAAAATGACAATGTTAGTTTGGAAGACTGCCCCCACGTATTTACGAAAACTAGAAAAACTTAGGATCCAGTCCAGTTTATAGGTAGAAAAATGTAAAAACCTGAAAGACAATGAATAGCACTAGAATCGAATTTCCACAAAGATATATTATAGTTTCTATTGGAACAATTTTTCTCTAAAAAGTCACCCCCAGTTTTATCAAAGATAGCAAAATTAAGACTGATTTATTTGCAAAATAAGTCTAGTTTCAATAAACTTGGCCCAATTATTTGTTTATGTCCAGCAAGAACAGTAATTAACCACACAGGGTCTTTTAAATCTGCTTTGCTGGAATTTTTCATAAGGAATCTTTAGCGCGAATGAATTTAACAATGTCTCTCAAGTCCAGAAAAGCCAAGCAAGGACTTGCCATTAGATGTTACCTGCATTAGGTTTGGGTGAGTTCCTCTCTTCTCGAGTTTCCCCAAATATCCTGAGGTTCCTACACCTGCCCAGAAGGGATATTCTTCGCTCACATGATAATGCTGCTGGGAAACATATGAGCAAGTACCAGGCCCGCATTTCCGGGGGTTTTTATTGGCTTCTGTAAGTCCATCTTAATTCCTTAAAGATGTCTGGTTATATCTGAGTCTATGCATCTCTCTCAAATATGACATTCCAGTCAAAACCTTGGTAGTAAAATCAGTTTCCAATTGTGTCCTATTACAAAGAGAATAGCTTCTTATTGAATTTATGCAAATAACCACATTGCCATCAAAATAAGACTCATTTATTAAGAGTTTCCAAATTCTGGAGGGATCAAGTAGGGAGAAAAATATAAAATATTTTAATACTGCTTACAAAGGTATAATTTACCAAATTACTAAATCATAGGTAGTTTAAGAGAAACAAGTTTCCTTTTATCTGGGAAACAAAAGATTTAAAAAATCAGCAATCTCAAACGAAAAAGTCAAAAAATTTTAATCTCCTTCATCAGTTCATTCGGTCCTGTATAGTTACATGTGTTCTGCTTGAATCCAGCTTTGCCGTTAGTTCTCTCAAACTTGACTGATCATTGAGGCTGATAAGGTCAGTGATAATTCCAAGAAGTTTGTGAGGCTGTCCATGGTTCCTATGATTTGCTCAGCGAGGTGGGTGTCTCGATCACAGAGTGCACTCTAAAACAATGCAAATGCTCAGGCTCCACCCCTACTGACTGAATGAGAACCCCAGAGGATGGGGGCCTGAGCATCTGTAATTTTCAAAGGCTCCCTGAGTAACTCCGATGCATATGGTCTACGGCCTGGCACTTCTGCATCTGACATTAGCTAAATTGGAGGGCAGGGAAGCACTGACAGTTGTTGGTTGAAGGCCAGGTGACAGGTCCTATACTAAAAGCTTAACATTTATTATCCCTTTAATTCTTGCAGCAACCCTGTAAAGTGAAGATTAGTGTACTCTTTTGTAGATTGAAAAAAACTTAAGTGCAGAGTAGTTGGTAACTTGCCCAACAGCTCCCAGGCGCGATGGGTTGAAAGGGGAATTTGAACTCTGATCTGTCTTGCTCCAAAACCTGAATATGTCCCGCCAGGCGCCTCCTGTAGACGGTTGTCTACCCTGAACCTGTGGCACTGGACACTCAAGGCTGACATGCTCCACCATCAGCATTTCCAGGGCTGAAATCAGTGATTGATGGTGATACTTCTAGAGCACATAGTTGTCTGTCAGATGGCAAGATGAGTCCCTCCGCAGCAAGGCATATGTCAGTCACTTCTGCTGCTTGGCCCCTCATAGGGCCGTGGGACATAGCACTTGCTCAATAAACGTCAGTTATATGGGTGGCTGGACAGATGAACAAACAACATTTCTCAATGGTGGCTGTTTCACTATGGAGCAGGGACCCAGGAGAGCCTGGCAGAGAAGGAGCTCCAGCTTCTAGTCATGATCCATCAACTGTCCACCCTGCGGGACCAGCTCCTGACAGCCCATTCAGAACAGAAGAACATGGCTGCCATGCTCTTCGAGAAGCAGCAGCAGCAGATGGAGCTGGCTCGACAGCAGCAGGAGCAGGTAGGCCTTGCTTTGTGTCTGGCTATTTTTTACAGGGGAGGGGTCTATCAGGGCCCAGAAGGGTGTACCTTGGGGGCAGACCCAGCCAGTACAGGCTGACGCCTGGGGCAGGTGGAGGAGGGGGCTGCAGGCAGGGAGTGGAGGGGATTGAGGGGCCCTGCCCAATCTCTACCCCTGGCCTCTGAGGGAAGGGTGAGCTCCCATCAAAAGGAGAATCAATTTTAAGAGCTGGCTCTTCTGTTTCTTGCCCTGCCCAGCTTTCTTCCATGTTTGCACTTCTGGAGGGCACGGTGTGGTTGGGGCTGGAAGGCTCTGGGTGTTGGGGCCCCCCGGGCCTATGCTCATGCCCCCTTTGCCTCATCTTCCCTCTGCCAGATTGCTAAGCAGCAGCAGCAGCTAATTCAGCAGCAGCACAAAATCAACCTCCTTCAGCAGCAGATTCAGGTGACAACAGGGGAGGGCTGGGGGATGGGAAAACTGGAGGCCAAGGGGTTGACACCAACCTGGAAAGATGCTGAGGCCCAAAATATCTTTCTCCTCAGCTGGGACCCGAGGGCAGGTAGACAGGGGCTGAGGGCAGGTAGACAGGAGCCCACGGCGGTGGTGTGGGGTCTCACGGATCCTTTGGAAGACTGTCTGCCCCAGGCTCCGTAGCCCTCATCCCTCAGTCTACCTTTTGTCCAGAACTAACTGCAGCTGGATAGCTATTTGGACCCCCAGGGACTCAGGATTTCTTTGCTCTCAGCAGGTCAACATGCCTTATGTCATGATCCCGGCCTTTCCCCCAAGCCACCAACCTCTGCCTGTCACCCCAGACTCTCAGCTGGCTTTGCCCATTCAGCCAATCCCCTGCAAACCAGGTGAGTGTGGGAGGGGCAGTCCTGCTACCTGTTCTGAGATTAGGGAAGAAGGCCCCCTGCCACTCTCAATCCATTAATTTGCAGTGTGGACTTCTGGGCCTTGGTTTGGCATCTGTCCAGTGGAAGAATACTCACTTGTTTCTGAATGTCACTGAGAGAATGAAAAATAGCACTTTGAAAACCATAAAGCGCTTTCCAGATGTAAGCGGATGTAGCCACTCTAGGTCTAGTTTCCCCAGTTCTGGTACATTACTGCACCAGAGTATTAATATTTCAAACATTAACTGAGATTTATGTGTCTCCCAAATTCAGACTTTTGTTCTCACACTGCTCTGGCCCCCCGCTCTTCTGTCCCGGCACCGAAACTCAGCAAACACAGACTGAGCACTGAGCACGTGTTGTCGGGTGACTGTGGGGTGATAAAATGTGGACTTCGAGCACGAGGAATTTACAGTCTGGGGAGGGAGAAAGAAGTATGCCAACAACCGGGGACTCTGGGACGGTTTCTTGAGGAGGTGGTGCTTGATTGGGTTCTGGGAGAATGGACTTGGGAGCTGGGAGCTGAGGGTGGAGGGCACGGGAAAGGCTGTCCTGGTAGAGGCCCTGCAGCCTGAGGCAGGAGGCCAGAGTTGAGAGGAGCATGTGACAGGGTAATGGGGACATGGCTGGGGAGGCCAGGTGTGACTGAGCATGGAGTTTGGGATTTATTTTGTAGAATGTGGGGCATCCTTGAACATTGAATAGAGGATGTGCTGTCACACAGGCTGTGGGTGATAGGGAATGAATGGAATGGAGACCAACTGAAAGCAGTAGCGGGTGTGGGGCTGTTGAGATGATTCTAGCAACAGGAGATGACAGTCCGAATGAGGGCAGTGACGGTGGGATGGAGGCCATGCCCATTGATTCCTTGTGAATGGTCATGGGGACAGGGCAGAGAAGCTGCCTGTAACAACCCCAGGAAGAGGGGGCACAGCTTTTAAATAAACTCCTTGGCCCACCCTCCCTGTTGCACATGAGAGAGAAGGCAGGAGAAATCCAGCCGGTGAGTTCCTAGTCCCAGCGCCAAAAGCCTGTGGGCCAAGGGCACAGTTCATTGGTCAGCCCCACTGATTCTACCTGGAGGGAAGATTCCAATTGGGGTATGTGGGGGGGAGACTGGAAAGGGGGTGGGTTGAGGGGGGAGGACGGGGCAACGGCACGAACCATTACAACTCCAGGTGAACATGGAGCAGCAGAGCCGCAGGAGTGAGGAGGGGAGGGGCCATGCACTTTCTGGACAAGGGAGGTAGGAAATAAGCTGTGGAAGACCTGGACTGGCCAGGCTGCCACCTGCTGTGTTTGCTCCAGAATGCCAGTAAGCAGGGGCCTGCGGGCTGCCAGATGTCCCTTTCAGAGGCTGAGTGAGAAGTGCCTGTCCCCAGCTAACAAGCCTTAGATGGTGCCCCGTTGCCTCCAGCATGGAGTCCAAACTTCTGAGTTCAGCCTTCACAGGCTTCTGAGCCCACCTTGCCCATCACGAGCCAACCAGTCTCATTCCCTACATCTTGTTTTCAACACTCCACCACTCCGTCTCCCCCTGCCCGCCTACCAGCATTAGCTCACGTCTCGGCTCCCCCAGGAAGCCTGCTGCAGTCGCTCCATCTGGAACAAAGTTCTCTCGAATGCTACCCATGCAGTCTATATCACCATGGGCCATGTGGTTAGTGATTTGTATACAGGGCTATCTCTCTCCATCTGAACTGTCGACTCCTTGATTCTGGGCCTGGTTGAGGAGTGAGTTTGGCGAGGGAGAGGAGAGATCACCGTGCTGAGGAGAGAGGACTGTGGAGTCGGGACCCAGGTTCAAACCTCGGTGCTCCCATTGATGAACTGTGCGGGTAATCCATTTAACTTCTCCAAGTCTTAGTTTCTTTATCTGTAAAATGGAATGATGTATTGAGCACCTGTTATGCACCACACACTGAGGATTATTGTGAGATAAGGCAGAGGAGACAGGCTACAACAGGTAGCTGCTTTTGTACCCTGCACATAGGTACAAAATACAAATATCCGAACAGTGACTAGATGGTGCCCCTGTTGTCATTTCACCATGGGTTTGGAATGCCAAGCTCAGTCAGTTGGGAAGGGCATGGCAAGGTGACGATGCTGATCCATGTGCAGGGCGATGACGGGTGAGGGCGTAGGAGGTCCTCAGCAGCGCTGTGGGGCTGAGGAGGACAGTGGTTGGAAGCAAGCTAGGCCAGCCCTGAGCCTTTGTCCACTTTGTGCCGCTGGGACCTTGTCAAGCAGGGTGACTGCTGTTCTGTGCTCATCCAGGACTTTTCTCCTTGCCGCCTTTTCCATAGTGGAGTATCCGCTGCAGCTGCTGCACAGCCCCCCTGCCCCAGCCATGAAGAGGCCCGGGGCCATGGCCGCCCACCACCCCCTGCAGGTACTGTCCCACCCGCTGGCCTGGGGCTCCTTCCCTAGCTGGGCTGGCTGGCCGCCGCCTCATCTGTTCTGGGTATGCCTGTGCCCTCTCTTCCTCTGCGGGGATCTCCTTTGGTGTCACTCACCCTCTGAGCTCTGGGTCTTCCCCTAGGAGCCTTCCCAGCCCCTCAACCTCACAGCCAAGCCCAAGGCCCCTGAGCTTCCCAACAGCTCCATTTCCCCCAGCCTGAAAATGAGCAGCTGTGGACCCCGCCCCCCCAGCCATGGGGCCCCCACGCGGGATCTGCAGTCCAGCTCCCCCAGCCTGCCTTTGGGTAAGTGTTCTACCTCCGCACCTGTCCCTTCAGTCCTCTTCCAGCGTCCAGGCAAGACAGCATGATATGGCCTTGGGCATGGCCCTTCCTTTCTGTGGGTTAGACTTGCTATAGTTGGCCCTTTTTAGTTTCAGCATTTAGCATCTCAGAAGGCCCCCTTCCTCCTCTCCCCCACCATATCTATCTGGGCTCCCTGGCCTCAGGAATTCAGACTCCTGGCTTGCACACTTTCAGGGGGTGCTATTGTCATTTCTAGTTTGTTGGCACAACAGCCAGTGTAAATGGCGCCCCCTTGGGGGTGTGCGGTGCAACAGCCCTGTGGAGAGCAAGAGGGAGCGCAGGAGGGGCATCGCATGAACTGGGGTGACCCCTCAGTTCCTTTCCTTTCCTTTCTTTTCCTACCCCCATAGGCTTCCTTGGTGAGGGGGATGCTGTCACCAAGGCTATCCAGGATGCTCGACAGCTGCTGCACGGCCACAGTGGGGCCTTGGAAATCTCCCCCAGTACCCCCTTCCGTAAGGTATGGGCCCCTACTCCCTGCACATGGGAGCAAGGGACACCTGGTGGCTGGGGTGGAAGACACACAGCCTGAGGCCCCTGAAGGGAGGGGTTAGGGAGAGAAGTGGGCAATGCAGAGGCTGATGTACAGGTTGTCCCTGTCAACCCTAGGACCTCATCAGCCTGGACACATCCCCAGTCAAGGAGCGGCTGGAGGAGAGCTGTGTGCACCCACTGGAGGAAGCCATGCTGGGCTGTGATGTGGATGGTGAGGGCTCTGGGCACTGGGCTGTTGGGTACCACTTCTGCTTCCCACCAGGACCAGGGTGGGTCAGGTGGTGTCTGTCTGCTGTCCATTCTCTCCTTTTATCTGTGACATCTCCTTATGTGTGCTCTGAGTCCCTGGCTGGGCCTCTGCTGACAGCTTGTTGCTGGTCATCCCTGGGTGCTGTGGGAGTGCCCCCATTACCCCTCAGCAGTCAAATGTGGAACATTTCTTTCTGCTGGCCTGGAGGACTTTCCTTACTCCCAGAGCAGTTGCCTTGCTCACTCCATCTGCCTCCCCAGGCTCCCGCCACTTCCCTGAGTCCAGGAACAGCAGCCACATCAAGAGGCCCATGAATGCCTTCATGGTGTGGGCCAAGGACGAGCGGAGGAAGATCCTCCAAGCCTTCCCAGACATGCACAACTCCAGCATCAGCAAGATCCTTGGTAAGGGCCAGTGGGCAAAGTCTGCAGGAGCTCTCGGGGTTCCAGGAGCCAGAGTCCAGCAGGACCCGGTTTCAGGAGCCAGCTGGATCTACTTGAGGCTTGCTCAGCGATAGCCCATGCCATGTTGAACTCCAGTGTGGGAGTCGGGGGGATGTGGGGTAGTTGGGTCCTGGGGTCTTGGACTATTAGGGTTCTTCTGCTAGTACCTGCACCCAAGAACTCAAGGAGTATGTGCATATGTGTGTGTGTGTACATACACGTACATGTAAGAGAAAGCTCCTTCCCCCACTCTCCCTCGCTAACCTCTTCCACTGTTTGCCAGACCCTTGGAGCTGGCTCTGGCAGGAACAGGAGAGACTGGTGTTCTTCGGTTGCCAGTAGAAAGGTTTTTTAAATGCTGTGTCCTATTGGAGGCCAGAGAGGAATTAGGGCAGGGCAGGTGGGGCTAGAAGAAGGCAGTTGTTCTCAGCATTGAGTCTCCTCCATGTCTGCGCAGGTCTCTTATAAACACAGACACCAGGTACCTTGTCTTGAACATGGAGCCTGTCTGTGTTATTGGGGGACTGGGGCAGCTGCTCTTTTTGTTTATGTAAGTCAGGCCAGAGGCCTCTCAGAAGTTGCTGGGATATAGGTGGGTGCTGTGTCTTAAGCTGGCAGTTTGATGCTCATATACATGCCAACTTCATTCATTCATTTGCTTGACATCCAAAGAGCAACCACATTGGACCAGGTCCTTGCTAAGTGCTTGCACATATATCTGGGTACCAAATATATCAGCACCTCCAGGGCCTGCAGGGGGCTTGGGATGCTCGACAGAGCCCAGGTTTGACTGTGCCTCTGGGGGCTGGGCCAGGCTCCCGTTGGAAGTCCATGACCAACCAGGAGAAGCAGCCCTACTATGAGGAGCAGGCGCGGCTAAGCCGGCAGCACCTGGAGAAGTACCCCGACTACAAGTACAAGCCGCGGCCCAAACGCACCTGCATCGTGGAGGGCAAGCGGCTGCGGGTGGGCGAGTACAAGGCGCTGATGAGGACCCGGCGCCAGGATGCCCGCCAGAGCTACATGACCCCGTGAGCAGGCCCTCCCCAGGCGGCTGAGACTGTGTGCGTGCATGTGTGTGTGCAGCTCTTGTGAGGGGCTGGGTGTTAGCGTGTGGCTTGCCTTTTGTGTGACTGCGGGGCTGGTGTGCATATGTGTCTTTTGGCTATTTGTATATGTGTGCGAGCATTGCCTGTGTGGCTGGGCCTTTGTGTGTGACTGCAGGGGTGACTATGACTGTGATGGGTACCTGGTTGCTGATGCCATAAATGTGTGACTGTGGGGAACTAGTGTGTTTCTGGGGAAACGTGCCTGTGGGTCCTATTTCTGACAAACTCAGTAAAAATTCATGGGTACTAGAAACCAAGGTGCTCATCAGACAGAGGATTCCGACTTGGCCAAAGCAAGTACACTGGTGGGTTCCTTTAAACAGGCATTTGAATATACAGTTTCCAAAAGTGGGATTCATACGTAGTCCTCCAGAAATATCTTGAATACGCCTGTGGCCCTGAGACTGAATGTGTGTGGGGGGCTGTAGCTGACAATGAATGTGGCCATCAGAAAGCAGACCAGGGAGCAGAGTGTGTGTCTCAGAGCCAAAAGGGTGTAGGGTGCGAGGGCACAGCCCGAGGAGTCCTGGAGGGGAGCTGGGAGGGTGCGGAAGTGAAGGTGCCTCCGTAATCCGCCTCTTGTCTGCCTGCAGCCCTCAAGCTGGCCAGGTGCAGATGAGCTCCTCGGATGTCCTGTACCCTCGGGTGGCACAGCCTCTGGTGGAACACTATGTGCCCCGAAGCCTGGACCCTAACATGCCTGTCATTGTCAACACCTGCAGCCTCAGGGAGGAGGCAGAGGCCTCGGAGGACAGGCACTCGGTGGCCGATGGTGAGATGTACCGGTACAGCGAGGACGAGGACTCGGAGGGCGAGGAGAAGAGCGACGGGGAGTTGGTAGTGCTCACGGACTGATCTCGGCTGGCTGGGCCTGGCCCTCCTCCTGGGGAAGACCTGGCCCCGAGCCAGCGGGCACAGCCAGCCAACCTGGACTCTGTTGGTACTTGGACTCGGGCATGCCCGGGAGATGGCACAGCTGTGTACTTGTAGATACAGGCCCCTTCCCCATCACATATGGGCACACCTGAGGAGCTGTTGGCCTAGGTGGGCAGGGCCTGATGGTGATGAATGAGTGGACCAAGTTCCTTGGCCCTTGGGGCTCATGGCCAGGGGACACTGTATGACCTGTCCCCTTGGGGGCCATATGCATTGTTTCCATCCTTGTCCTAACTGGATCAGCCACCATGGGACCAACCCCTCGCCCCCGCCCCCCCAGCCCACACACACACACACCCCAGATTGCTCCTCTGTCACCAAGATGACTTTGTACTTTGTGCAAAAAGATGTCTCTCACTCTATCTTCTGCCAAGCCTATTGTGCCTCTGGCTGCTGTGTGTGCGTGCGTGTGTGCACACGTGTACGCACGTGTGATTGTTTTCATCTGTTCATTCGTTGCACAAGATATTTATTGAGTGTCTGCTATGTGCCAGGCGCTGTTGCTAAGTTCCTATGGGTGTGTCTCTTGATGCCCCTCTTGCTTCTGGAGGGCTCTTTCTGTGCTCTCTTCATTCCCAAATTGCTACCTCTTTGTCAGTCTGGGCGTCTCAGGTTCTGTGCATCCTTGTGTGCGTTTCTGTCTTTGTCTCTCTGCAGGGCCCTATTTGTGTGTCTCTCCCTTCCTTGGTGTCTGACTCTGCCCCTCTGCCTGCTAGTCACTCTGGGTCTCCGAAGGCCCCTGAGCTGCCCTTGGGCCCACCAGCCGCCCTGACCTCCCCTGCCCGCTTCTTCCCTCTGACTGCTGGTCGGTTCCCACGGAGACATTTTTAGCTCCGAGCAGCATGGAAATGTGCTCAGCCTCCAAGGGGCTCTGTCCTGGTGCCCCAGACCCTGGTCCCAACCTGAGTGCCAGGAGCAGGGGCAGGAGGATTGATGGTGCACCCCCCCTTCCTGTCAGTGACAGAAGCCCTGGAGCAGGGCTCCTATGGCAGCTGGTCTCCATGCCTCCCTCTTGAACAGGGGGTGGGAGGGCTCCCCAATCTCAGAAGGGGTTGGTGAGGAGAAGACTGGTGCTCCATTCCCTCGCCCAGCTCGCCCCCCGCCACCC